AACCCCAAAAAAAAAAAAAAAAAAAAAAAAAAAGCTGATATGACAGTATTCCATTACCTTTATCATTTCTATTAATCTCTTTGTCTATTTCTTTAATTTCACATGAAGTTAGGCAAATGATTAGCCATTATGTATTGATGAATAGAAAACAAACCCCCAAAATACAATGAAAGATGTCTAAATATTTACTAGTTGAACATAAATTAGATTTGTAAAATTGAGTTGAATACCTAAGCCTAACAATTTGCTAAATTTCCCTACTAATACATAATGGTCTCTACAAATATTTTCTTAATTTCCAAAGAAATATTTTTTAAGTTTTGCATACTATTTATTTGCATTTGTAAGTAATTTGATATCAAATATTGTACAGCATTTTCACAATACAAACTACAGGCATACCTCATTTTATTGCACTTTACCTTACAGGCCCTCACAAATACTGTTTTCACAAACTGAAGGTTTGTGGCAACCCTGCATTGAGCAAGTCTACTGGTGCCATTTTTCCAATAGCATTTGCTCACTTTGTGTTTCTGTGTCACATTTTGGTAATTCTTGCAACATTTTAAGTTTTTTCATTATTACTGTATTTGTTATGGTGATCTGTAATCAGTGATCTTTGATGTGACTACTAAAGCTCACTAAAGGCTCAGATGCTGCTTAGCATTTTTTAGCAATAAAGTATTTTTTAATTAAGGTATGTACACTGGTTTTTGGACATAATGCTACTGCACACTTAACAGACTACAGTATAGTGTATATATAACTTGTATATGCATTGGGAAACCAAAAAACTCACATGACTTGCTTTATTGTGATATCTCCTTTACTGCGGTGGTCTGGAGCAGAACCCATGGTCTCTCTGAGGTATGCCTGTAAATAGCTTTCCAAGAATTTTCTAAGTGGAAAATCAGTAATAGGCACACACACACACAAAAAAAGATCTTTCCTTAAGACAGCACATGTTTAAGATACTACATGTGAGATATTACATCATACTGCTGGGTATTTAGATTTCAATTTGTATCTCCCTTCCATTATGTTCATTTCTATCATTTCACCTCTTATCACAGAGATTCTCAAGCCTGTATGTTATATGGATCATATTCTCTCAAAAAACTACTACTGATAGTTCATTCACTTCTTATTATAGAGAGTATGTATGTGTGTTGAGGGGTGTGGGTGTGCTACAAGGAGGTGGGACCTTACACAATTAAAAGGAAGACTGCTATGCTTTTAAGATGAGCATGTGTATGATTTTTAGAAGTGGGATAGTGTACGTAAACAACTTTGCACAATGGCTGACACTTGGTAAACATACAATATATGATGCCTATTTTCATCACAGTACTCATTATGTTATAAACTTGTGGATACAAAAACATTTCAAAAATCAAGACCAAAGGAAGACACCACTGATGATACTATTGATCTTCACAGAATCACTGTACCAAAGCAGATTTACATTGTTTTGAAATGTTGACAATGCTACTGAAACAAAGTAACTGAAAGTCTTCATGTAAGAGATACGGATAGCAATTAAACTCCTTGTTTTTCAGACGGGTAAATTGAGACCAGGCATGGCAAGTTTAAATAATTTGCCCAAGATCACTCTGCTAGTAATGACAGACGTGAGATTCAAACCCAAGTCACCTGGCCTCAAACTCATGTTGCTATACTACCTCCAATCAAATTACAAAAATCTAATCAACCTGTAAAAAAATTCAACGTTAAGTCCAAGTTAAGGTTTTCAAACAGTGAAACTTTATTTTTTTTTTTTTTAAGTCAGACTCTTCTCAACATTTTCTCCTTTTTTCCAGATACAGCCTCTTGGCTTAAATTTTTTTTATGGAGAATTCAATTGAAGGATGGTAGGGGTAGGTAAACAAAATCTGATACCAGAGGTTTAGGGCTTTAAGCAACAGGACAGTATTTGATACTTTATTACAAATGTTACAATTCTTAATTAGCTTCAATCAGTGTCTCAATTTAGGTATGCCAAAGGGTATGAATGTCTCTGTTATACACTACCTGAACAACCCTTAAAGGAAAAGTGGATACTGTTACAAAAAGGTGAGAGTTCAAAAAACACAGGTCAATTCAGGGAAACATGCAAGATGACATACAAAGTATCAACGTAATGATATCCTAAGAACAATGCATATGAACTAAGGAGATAATTTTAACATTTTAATTGATCTTTCTTTGTAAAGCTGGGAGCACTTACATATATGTTTATTTAACCACCTTGCAACAGGTAACTGAAAAAATAAACTGCCCAATTACAAAATGTAAAAGGGAGATTCCATTTTCCTATGAACAACATCTAAGGGGAAACATATGAACAACATCTATGGGGGAAAAGTACCACAATAGAGATCCTCTGTTAATCATGCATGGAGTTAAGCAAGAAAAATATTTTATTGATTATGTCATAATCACAGACCATATTTTCTGACCTCTGATTCTCTAACTTGGCCATCTTATAAAGAAGAGTCCACCAAAATAATGAGCAATCAACGCTAAAGACAAAGAAAATAACATGCCTGTACAAAATTCATATTTTATCTCCTGCTGGTACAAGTTAGAATTCAGAAAAGTCACAAAGGTGACCCTGCTTACCAGAAAGCACTCAAACTTTTAAAGTACAACCAAAACTATCTCTCTGCTAACTTCAAACCATTAATTAGAATCAATGACCCAAAAGCCTGAAAAGGTTTTGCATCCCATAATTACAGATACAACTACTACATTTCTCAGTTTAAAAGAAAAACGTTTTACTTTCTGCTCTTAAACATACTAAATTATTTTTAAGCAGTCTCGTTTCCACAGGACACCGCTTACTGTAGGATGCAGAACACCTGGGTGAGGCAGACCAGAGGACCCAGGACCTAAACCTCAGTAAGCCCTGTGGGCCTCTAAAAATCTGACCCAAGCGGGCCCCTCCAACCTTCAGGCACCCATCCCTCAACAGGGTACCTGCTTTGAGTTCACAGGACCCCGGATACTATGTACACATCCCACAAGCGCACACGAAGCACCATGAACACACAGTATGTAACACCGGGTATGACATGCCCACACTGGGAACCATGTGGACCCGTATATAACACCAGGCACCACAGACAACTAGGTACCATGCACACACCATATGTGACACCAGGAACCATGCCCATGATATCCCCACTACATACAACACCAAGTACCAGGTGCACACCGAGCACCAGAAACACAACAGGTATCATGCATGCTCCCACGATATACAACACCAGGCACACATTCGGGACCACAGACACACCAGGCAGCATGGACACACTAGGAATCATGCCCCCACCACATACCAGGTGCACACTGAGCAACACCGACACACAGTATATAACACCAGGCGCCACGGACACACCGGGCACCATGACCACACGGTATGTAACACCGACCACCATGGACACACTGGGTATCACACCGCCCGCCCCCCGTACATAACACTGGGCACCACGGACACACCGTGAGCGCCTCCAGCGCTGGGCCAGAAAGGCGTAAGGGGACAGTCCACGCGGAAGTTGGGGGTCCCAGGCCGGCTGCTGCGCCCCAGCTTAGCTCCCCTCCGGACGCCCGGCGAGATGGGTGGCGGACACTTAGGCGGTCCTGGGGGCCCGGAAGGATCTGCAGAGGAGGCGGAGGCCTCGCTGCCGCCCGTTACCAGCCCCGGAGACCAGGCCTCGCCTGGGCCCTTGGGGACCACCCTGCCCAGCCGCAGCCTTCGCTCCCAACAACTAGCCGTCAAGGCAGACGCCCGCCCCCCACGCGCCCCCAAACTCACAGGGCCGCGTTCCGGCGGACCCCGAGCCGAACCGCTGGCCCCGAGGCCTGGGCGCGCGGGGAGGACCGGCCCGGCGGGCGGCGCTCACGCGACTCCCCGGCTTCGCGGCCCGTGCAGGCCCCGCGCCGTCCTGCTCCTGCGGGGCCTCCTCCTCCTGCAGGGCCGCCCTTCCCCGGCCGGCCGAAGGCGGGGTGCGCAGCCGAACCCCCGCAGACCAGCAGGACCCTGCCCGACGCAAACAAAGCTCCGCCGTCCACTCGGCGCTGTTTACAGGGGGCGAGCAGTGGTCACGCCCGCGGCCTGAGAAGCTGCAGCCGGGCCCGAGCTCCACAAACACCCCGCCTCGGACACCCCGCCCGCGCCCCCGCCCCCGCCCCGCCACCGAGGCCGAGCGTCTCCCACCATTATGCTCCGGACGGTCCTCGCCGCCGCCGCCGCCGCGCCCGGCCCTCCCCCTCCGCGCCCGGCCCGCCGCCCGCGCCGCCTCCTTCCCGCCGCCGCCGCCTCCTCCGGGCCAGGGCCGGCGGGGAGCGGGGGGGCTGCGGTCTCCCGGCCTCCCAGCCACCGCGGGCCCGGCATCCCTGCCGCCCGCGCCGGCTCCCCGGCCTCCCCGCCTCCGGTTACGCGGACCCGGCCTCCCTGCCGCCCGCCCCGGCTCCCCGACCTCCCCACCTCCGGCTCCACGGGCCCGGCCTCCTCCCTGGCTCCCCGGCTCCGCGGACCCGGCCTGCCCGCTCCGGCTCCGCGCCTCAGGGGCGCCATGTTTACAAGCCTCCACCACAGAAACTCGCGAGCACCCGGCGACGGTGCCTCCTCGCCGAGCGGCGGGCCGTGGCCGGGCGCGGAGTTGAGGCGCCGCCGCCGCCGCCGCCGCCGGGAAAGTTTGCGTCCTGCGAGGCCGCGGCGCCGCTCACATGGCGGGCTGAGCGGGGCGGCCGCTCGCCGGCCCGGCCTCCTCACCGCCGCCCGCCCGCCGCCCCCGGGCTTTATTGTGTGGCCCGCCAGCCGGCCGCGCTGCGGGCTCGGGCTCGGGCTCGGCGCGGGCTCCCTCCCGGCCCGGCCCGCCGTGCACGCCCACACCCACCTTCCCGCCGTCCTGTGCTCCGCGCCTCTCCCCAAATTTGAGCATATTCTTACATATCCACACACGCACTTCATATCAACACACACGTGAAAGCTACGTACGTGCGGGCACGCGGGAGCCGGGAGCGGAGCGCACAAAGATCCGGCACCCGCAGCATCGTCAGCTCGGACCGGCGGCTGCGGGCACTGCCCGGCCGACGCCTGCTTTCGTGTGCCTCGTACCTGCCTAGAGTCACCGTCGGAACGGCAAAGTCTTGGAGGAGCATTAATTTTTTAATTGGCAAGATCTGTAAAATGGTGTTAATACCTTTTAAATTCTGTCAGCGAAACAAATTGCGGGAATATGCTGAATTCCTCATTCCATACGTGCACAAACAGGACTTCAGAAAGAACGGGACCACCCATTACTGTTTTGGCAAAAACACTACCAATTTGTGTAAGGAGAAGGTTATCTTTCTTAGTTTGTAATTCTAGATCTAAGGAGAAGATCCCCATATGTGGATTAAGAAAGTCTCAAAGATAAGCATACTTAATAGATTTCACATATTTTCTCTAATGACTTTTGTCCATAGGAGTTTAGAAGGAAGACCTATCAGCCAAAACTTACTACTCTGATTCTCTTTGGACATATATACCTGAAAATCACCGGAAGACACTTGTCCAAGAAATTTGGGGATTCTAATCCAATTCAACAATCTTTCACAGCTGGTCTCTAAGTTAGAATTTGGAAAAGGGTGGTACTTGAATAGGAGTTCTATGATGTACACCAGTAGAAGAAACATAGTTATTTCACAGCCCTGGTTCTAATACATCCCAGAGAGATCTTGGTTATCTCAAGAGACATCACAAAATAATTTAAACTCATTTTAATTGTATGGATAAATATATTCCATTAAAATCGAGCAGAGGGATTAAAAGATGTCAGAAAAAAATCAAGCCATGCCTGGTTTGAATGCGGGACCAGGAATTCTAACAATGAATAGTTTTAAGTAAATCATCTTTTTTTTTTTAAGTCATCTGTAAAATAGAGGACTGCATGATTCTATATATTTCACAGAGGCCACTCAAGGAAAACATCATATATGTATAAAAGGAAACTTATATTTTAGGAAAGAAGTCACTAACCCTAACTGCACATTTTTCTACAATGAAAGTTTTTAGCTATCATTTTTATTTTTGTATGCAGATATTCTCTCTCATTCTACCTTGGTTTTGCCTAGAATTTAACCCTTGGCCCTATACTCCCTTCAGAACAGTTTTATTTACCCTTATTTTCCCCCCAGCTGAATAACTAATAGGCAGGGGAGATGGTCTGGAGGCCAGTGGTTTGGGGTCAGGAGTTGGAGGGAGGCCCAGAAGACCCAAATAGTTATTTCCATACAACTTAGGTTATACCATGAAGTTATCTGACAAACTGCAAAGAGAAGGCAAGGAACTGAGGTGTCAAGGAAAAGAGGGAAAAGGAAGAGTAGTGGGCTGTGAGGAATGGTTTACATCAACTTGGCCATGTTTCAGAGATTTAGCACCACCCAAAGAAAGACCCCACGCAGCACTCCTAATTCTTCCCCAACCCCAACTAACGCTAGACAAGTTAAGTAATGTCTGACTTGATCAGCATATCACTTTTTTCAGATTCTGCTTTTAGAAATATTTTGTAAATAGAGAATGCATGGATTATTCAACATGTTGGTGTGGAATTTTTGTCTCTTTAAAAGAATAAATCAAATCATATCCTTACCTTACACTCCACACTTTAAAATAATCCAAATGACTTAAATAATACATATGTATAAACTGAAAATCATTATTCTAAAGGTAGAAGAAAATATAGGTGAATATTTGTAATATTAGTATGGAGAAAAATATCCTAAGCTCTAAAGCAATGATTTTTATCAGAAAAGAGTGATAAATTTGACTATATAAAAATTTATGTATCCTATATGGCAAAAACAAATATAGACCTATTTTAAAATACGCCCATTAGGGTTACAACTTTTATACTTTATAAGGAGTTTCTTCTAATACCCTTTTCCCCACTTTCCTCACATAATGAGGACCAATTCAGATTTTTTTAGGACCAGTTTAGAGAGGGTGACCACAGTTATATAGAGTTGGGGTATCCTGCTAAACTCCCATCTCAGAGTGTTCCTGGTTTGCTAGTATGTAGCAATAACAAGCTCATGCACGTGCTCCTGAAAGTCTTGCTTTTATTTGTTTTAAGTTTGGTTTTATGTTTCTATTTTGCATTAAAGGTTGAATTACATAAACTTTGAATACTGTATGTATGCTTTGTTTGAGAACATAGTCTTAAGTGTGATGTACAGAACAACTATAAAAACCTTCAGGAATGCAGGTGAACAGCACATTATACAGAAATTAGTGAATAGAAATTGTTACGTTGTGTTATCACAAGTACTGTAAACTAGTGAAGTAAAATAGGTCTATTTCAATGAGACTTGGTGTTTTTCATTTATGGGGACTCTGGAATATATATATATATATATATATCACCTTTTCTAATTTAAAATAATAGTAGCTCCATTTTCAACTTACAATAATGTTTTTTTGATAACAAATTACTCTTATAAGGTGAGGAAGACTGTACAAGTAAAATTAAAAGGCAAAAAAACTGGGAGAATATATATATATGCAAGAAATAAGAACTAGGGTAATAGTCTTTAAATATAAAAAGCTATGTCACGGGCTTCCCTGGTGGCGCGGTGGTTGAGAGTCCGCCTGCCAATGCAGGGGACACGGATTCGTGCCCCAGTCCGGAAAGATCCCACATGCTGCGGAGCGGCTGGGCCCATGAGCCATGGCCGCTGAGCCTGCGCGTCCAGAGCCTGTGCTCCGCAACGAGAGAGGCCACAACAGTGAGAGGCCCGCATACCGCGAAAAAAAAAAAAGCTATGTCACATCAGTAAGATAAATACCACACACACCACCAAAAAAAAGAAACAAGGCCATGGATAATTTAGGAAAAAAGAAATATAAATTATTAATAAATATTAACAAATGTTCAAATTCCCTAGTAATGTAATGACAAAATAACACAACACTGCTTTTCTTCAATGACAGAATTCTTCTTCGATGATAATGCTATTGAGGGTTAGCGAGATGGAC